CCACTAACATACTTATTAAAAAAGTTTCGCAAAAACATGCTTGTGTGGCCTGCAAGCAGAGTGTTTGAAGCCCCTGATCTATTACATGATGATTTCAATGTATCCTACAGCATGAAAATGATTGTGCGTTACGTCATCTGCTTTGGCCTTTTTCGCACATGGCATCCAGGACACAGTAAAGGGAGTGTCTCCTGAGATGTTTTTTTTTCTTGTCGCCTTCAAGAACTGACATCTTGAACTCTACATGATGGTAGTTACTATTGAATTTGGTCATAAGGCATCTTCACTCTATCTTTGACCATTTCAGTGTTGCAATATTTGCACACCTAACTATGGCTGCTCTCACTATTTTACGCTGTAAATATGGAGACCTATATTTATTCTCTATGAATGTCTTTCATTTTCTTCTAATCTTCGATACTGTAATTTTTCCGGCTTACCGAGGCACAGCTAGAAACAGAAGTTGGATAGCTTTGAAATGATCCGATGGGCGCACACAGTCCATACGAAGGGAAATCTTGTATCATGTGGAGAGCGTTTATTTCACAGTTAAAGCTAAATTCGGAGGACTGATGAAATGGTGATTCGCGTGTGCAAATCGCGTACTGCGTTATTCATTCTCACGCCCCCTCCACCTTTGGTCCATGCCGAGTGGTTGACGAAACAATACAGGCCGAAACCATAGTTAGGATTGTCAGGGAGCAAAGGGACAGGTGCAAATTCTGAATTGCAGTGTGAATTTTCCAACGTCATGTGAATGTTGGGTGTGTAGGCATCAGAATTACGACATATTTCATACCTCCATGATCACGTACGTCCTGTGAATGTAGCCTAACTGTCCTGCCGTGCACTGCTGAGCCAGTCACTTTTTCAGTTCCTTTTGAGCGTGTACTCGAATGCGCCGTTGCGGGATGATTCCTTATATCTGGGGCAAGATCAAGTTCGATCTGTTAATAGCAGAGCTGCGCTCTCAGCAAGAGAACGCGTCTTTGTGCGTGGTCGACTAGGTACGCAAAGCTATGAAGATATTCCGTGCTTCGACGACACGAGTCCGATGTATTGAAACGCGCAGCACAAAATCAATTCCCCTTGAGCGTGTACTAAAACGCGACGTTGCGCGTTGATTTCCTAATTCTGAAGCACGATCGAATTCAACCTCTTAACTGCACAAATGCGCACACCGCAAGAGAACGCGCCTTGACTTCTGCTACGTGCGTTGTACGTTCATTCCAATAAATAGAAGTGTACCTTGCTCACAGGCACTCGCTAAATGTATTTCAGACGACACTGAGCGTTCAAGGGAAAGGCACAGCTACAGGGACAAATTTATCCGCCAAATCAGGCAGCAGCCTGGTAACACTGACCCCCGAAATCTCGCAAAAGACTAATTCAACGCCAAAAAGAACCGTAGATTATCTTGCGGAGGAGGAGGAGAAAAAACTTTATTCATCCCAAGAGGGAAAGGTGCGGTGGTGGAGTGTCATAGGAGCCTACCCAGCGTAGGTCTCCGCTACCCTCTTGGCCCAATCCAAGATCTGGTCCTGGACCTCGGGCGCCGAGCTGCACATAGCAGCCTCCCACTGCTCCTTACTATTAATGTGTAGAGAATCGGGTGGTGGGTTTCGAGTACACCCCCACATGATACGGTCTAGGTTAGCTATTTGTTCACAGAAAATGCACAAAGGGGAGGGGTATATCGCAGGGTGTATAAGATGGCGAAATGATGGGGTAGGAAACGAACGGGTCTGTAACTGGCACCATAGTATTTTACGGTAGCGCGAAGCTCCATGATGTAAGGGGGGGTATATAGTGCGCTGTAGGCGGTAGTTATTTGTTATATCGTGTTAATCGTGATTTGTTATATCGTGATATCGTGTTATATCACATGTTAAGACGATCTCTCGCGTTGAAAAAGGCTGCGTGGTCTAAGGCGCCATCAGAGGCTTGCGCTCGGCCGGTCATTCCTCGAGCACAGGTATGAGCCGCCTCATTACCACTCAACCCCGCATGTACGGGCGTCCGTATGAGAGCAACGTGTTGCATGGGAGGATGTTTCAAAAGAATTGAAAGGGCAGTTGGTGAGATGCGACCTGCGCTGAAGTTGCGTATGGCAGTTTTGGAGTCTCTTACAATCATAGCGATATTGGGGATGCATAGACCTAAAACGAAGGCAGCCTCCTCTGCCTCCTCCGAAGAATTGACAGTGACGGATGCCGTTGTGAGCGCCTTGCTGTTGTAGTCAACAGCAGAGAGGGCATAGGATGAGGAGGATGGGTATTCTGCCGCATAGACATAGAGCACGTCATTGGCTCCATGCAATTTTTTCTGAAGAGCTTTTGCTCTTTGTATTCGGCGCTTAGTATGATATGTTGGAAGCATGTTTTTAGAAAGTGGCGGTATGAGTAATTGTTTGTGTATGTTTTGGGGAATGTTACATTTAGCATTGGTGAGGGAGGTGAAGTTAATTCGGGTAGACAATAAAATGTGGCGACCTGCGCTAGTGGTCGCGAGCCTTGCGTATTGAGCTGTTAATGGGCTTCACGGATTTTAAACAGGGTATTTATGACTCCTGTCTGGTGGAGTAGTGCGTTAGAGGTATTGATTACGATGCCTAGCGCGTATTTGTAAACTCTGCGAAGGAGAGTGTTGACCGATTCTTCCTCTGCTAATTTAAGGTGAAGGTAAGGAAGGGTATATGTGATTTTACTAATCACAAAAGCTTGTATTACACGAAGTAACTCTGACTCTCGGAGCCCTCCATTTTTCCCTGAGATTCTTCCTATCATTCTTAGGGTGTTTTCAAGGGTATTCCGTAAAGCTTCGAGTGTGTACGTATTAAGTCGGTTGTTTTGGATAAATAAACCTGGCACACGAATGCGTGATACTCTCGGAATGAGGCACCCATTTATGTGAACTTTGATCATTGGAACGTGTTCGTTCCAGCGATGAGTTGTTAGAAGGAGTAACTATGATTCAGTTGGGGTACAATAAAGATTCATATGAGATGTTAGTGCTGCTATTGTATCTACAGCTGTTTGTAGGGTGTCTTGAATGCGTCTATCTGAGCCTCCTTTCACCCATAAGGTGATATCATCGGCATAGATGGAGAAGTTCAAGTCAGGGATACGTTGAAAAGCGTTGGGTATAGGTAGCATAGCCAGGTTAAAAAGGATTGGAGAGAGCACTGACCCTTGAGGTGTTCCGAAGCAGCCTAGTGTATAGGGTGAGGAATGTTCTGGTACTAATGTTAATGTAGCTGTGCGGTCTGTGAGGAAGCTTTTGATGTAAGAGTACATTTTAGCGGACGAGAAATCCAGTTGATGGCAGCATATATAGCTGAGCGTGCTACGTTACTGAATGCTCCATGTTTGTCCTGACCAAGGATTGCCTGAGTATTCTCACTCCGGTTAGGAGTTATGAAGTCGTGTTGAAGGCGAAGCATCGCATCTTGCGCTGAAAGTGAGGCCCTAAAGCCATTCCGTTCTGGAGGCAGTAGTCCATTATCCTCCACGTGTCTCTGGAGGCGTGCAAGCACAACTTGCTCCAAAATATTTCCGAGACACGTTGTTAACGAAATGAGCCTCAGACATTCTACGAAGGAAGCTTTGTTCGGTTTAGGTATAAATAACGACTCTGGCATTTTTCCAAGAAGGTGGAAGGGTGCCCGTGTCAAAACAGTCGTTAAAGTACTCAGTCAAAGCTTTAATCAAAAGAGGTCAAGATTTCTAAGTCATTTGTTGTTAACGTGGTCGGGGCCTCAAGCCGACGTGGTACGGAGTGTTGCGAGGGCGCGTCTAACTTCCGCTTCCGTAATCGGCGCATCTAATGACTCATTAGGTTTCCTTGTGTAAGATGGTATAGAATCCTCACGTAATTGAGGTAAATGCAACGTGCGGATTTTATCTATCTTGCGGCATTTTTATCTTTCAGGTACGGTGAGGGGTAACGTCAACGGTACGATTGCCGAGGTGGAAATGGTTAGGAAGGCACTTCAGCAACCCCGTGGCATACTAGGCCCTCCGTGGCAACACGGAGAAAATTCAAACCCTACATAAGAAAGAAAAAAAACATAAATATTACGTCATAGTGACAGGTCACGAGAATGACGCAGCAGAAACGTCATCCATTCTTCGCGGTCAGAGCCAGACCACGGCGCTAGGCATGTTCGCTCAAGGTGATCACTCAGTGCTTGCGACAATTCTCACTAGATGGTGCGCCACCAACTGAGGCGTCGGTTTTCGATTGTCCGGGCTTTCTGCTGCTAGCGACTATGTCCAGTTGGTTCTCGTCACTTTTTAAGCACGGCACCAATTAAGAAGTTCTTACGATGAGTGTTTGCACGGGTACCGTCGTTCTCCCAAGCCCCCTCACCAGCCGCTCTCGGCCACAATGCAGAAGGCCTCATAGCTCCACGTCTGCCATTTATATGAGTGTACTCATGAGCCCTCACGGCAGCGGCCATCATGCCATGAAGGGCAGGTGGCTAACTTGCAGATCTGCGTGGCCAACATTGTGTATAGTGCCGCCTGCGGAACATGCCCGACAACGCTGCCTTCAACGTACACACAATGCGCTGGCTCGTTAACAAGCCTTTCTTGCGGAAATGGTCTCGCCAAGAAAAGCCGCATGACACTCCGAGCAAGCTCCTCTAACATCAGTTACTTTGTGGATGTGGCCCGGCCGCGGTGGTCTAGTGGCTAAGGTACTCGGCCGCTGATCCGCAGTTCGCGGGATCGAACCCCGGCTGCGGCGGCTGCATTTTCGGTGGAGGCGGAAATGTTGTAGGCCCTTCTGTTCAGATTTGGGTGCCCGTCAAAAAACCCCAGGTGGTCGAAATTTCTGGAGCCCTCCACTACGGCGTCTCTCGTAATCATTTGGTGGTTTTGGGACAATAAACCTTACATGTCAATCAATCAACTTAGTGGATGTGGCGTTGAATTTATTTATTTTTACTTCTCAAGCCTTGCTGCTTGTCAAACGAAATAATGCACAGTACACGCTTTTATTTCCAGTATTTATTCATATTCCCATTTTATTTCTTATGTCTGCACGAATAGTGCATGGTGATGGCACGTCGTGCCATTCATTCGTTCTTTTTTTCGCATTCATGGAGTCGGCGTTTACTGCGAACCAAGTGGCCTGTCAATTTGAGACCTGGACGAGTCGGCTCCAGCTTCGGCCAGGCTGGCAAGAAATAGCGGCACCGACGAGCCACGTTTGCCCCGAGCACCCACGAATCCCGGTGGTTGCTCGAGAATCACGTCGTGACGCCTGCCACGAGCACCGACGAAGCCAGGAGGGATTGCACCGGGCTAGAAAAATACAGAAATCTGTGTAGGACCTCACACGAAAGAGAGAAAGAACGCGCCTGCGTTTAAGTTTTGACGAAACAATTCAGTTAACTCGCCATATAGACAACTTCGACAGTCTGTCAAGCACTCAAGAAGTCAATCTACGGAAATGTGCCCAACGCCCAAGATGTCGCAACGGCTGGTTCGTATTTAAACATCAATGCCAAGTGAAAAAAGCCCGATTGACGCAGCCGTTTTGCTTTGCGTGTGTTGTGCCTCAACTCATTTTCCTCTACTGGGAGATGACTGAGGGATTAAGCAGATGAAGTTCCACCGAGTGAATGTTTTGACTAGAGCGAGAATTCTCAATCTGACGACAGCTTGTGTGGCGTATGGAATTTTTTTGTAAACTCATTACGCTATATGATCGCACACACAACTGACTTACTGCATATGATCTAGTGTGTTGTTATTCAGCCATGAAAGCAGCTAATACAGCGATTTCATTCACAAATATGCAATTCAAAATAACAGTTAGAATAAAATGAAAGAAACCAGTTTTCAACACTTTAACGAGGTTGCGTGAAGTGGGGCACATTGTCGTAATTATAAACACCGAAAGTTTTTTATTACATTCTTTAGCTATATCTAGCCGAATAACTAATTTTATATCGCGAGAAAAGTGTTTCTCTACCTTAAGGTGATATACATGTAGGGACAGTCCTTTATTTGAGCTGAAACTTTTACAGTTTCAAAAAAATAATTGGGGGATAAAACTTCCTGACACAACGGTGTTGCCTTGGCACCGGGCAATAACCATTCTCCTTTTAGCTTGTCCGGGTTTTTAAAATAATTTTTATGCACTAAGAAGAAAACAGATCATAGTGAGCTATTGTAGCTCCCACTGCGCAGCGATCGTTTTCTTGAGTTCTTTCAACAACCATGTCAAAAAAGGGAGGAATCAGCAAGATACATCAATCTTTTTCTTCATCTCTCTTGGATGTTACACCAGCAACGAAATGTAAAAAGGAAGCAGTGTAGGCGGTTTTATTAGTGGCAAAGCTCCTCAGGTTCGAGCGATGTCCCCTGTTCATCCGCTTGACACGGTACGGATATCTATATTTATATGAATATCCATATTCATACGCGTTTCCTTACCGATATAGATAGCTGTATAGATAATAATATAAATGGTCATCTAGATTTTATTATTCGAATCGACAATGATATTCATACGTTAATAGATGTCAATATAATTACCCATGTGGACCTCTCAACATCATATATGCATTGTAATTATTAAGAAATTTTGCATATACTTTAAACATGTAATGTCACATCTCTGCCTAATTCAGTGGGCAATAAGTGGAGGTTAATGATCTCCCTGAGCTTCGCCCACTCGTCATCGTTAATTTTGTGGTTGTGCTGTGATTTTTGTTCATATCATAGCAAACAAGTTGTTAAGTAGATAACAGCACAGGGTAGCACATATATGTCATTGATGTGTATGAAATGGAGGAAAATTGCCCCGAAACAATTTCTCTACGGGAATTCAAAAGCTGTCCTGAAAGTTCTCTGAAAGCTCACATACGTCATCAATTCTTAAAAGGTGCGCAGTCAAGGATATTAATGCATGCATGCAAACATCTACGCAAGTTACATGTGATAGTTGTGGTACTACGTGAGGCTCGAACCTAATAACAAAGGTTACCAAGTGCTCCGTGAGATTACAGTTGTCGAGCCTGCCAACTAAACCTGGTATGCTTCATGTCGAAAAGTTGCCGTACTCTATTCGAGTCAAGCAAGCGAAGGTTGACTTGGGAAGTGCCTTACCTGTCCGTCACTGCTCTCGGTCGAGCGTTTGCGTAGCAACGCGGCGTCTCGCAGCAACCTCTGCAGCAAGTTTGCCAGTTCTACTCCAGTCTGCGTATAAAGTACGCAAATATAATGAGGAAGGCGTACGCTGAGAATTCTTTGACATCGTTGCTGATAAATTTAACAAAATACATATCACACAGATGAGAGTGAGCTAGCGCAATATCGTAGTCGCTAGGAATCTACTAATCGCTACAAAAGCTGCTGACGCAGATGTTGTGTTTCAATCGGCGAAAAAGCATAAGCCGGTCATAACGTCGTGGCAGAAGCAGTTATACTGTACGAAGCTGTTAAGAGCTCGCAGTACTCTTGTAGAGGAGCATCGATACTGTTCAACTTTAGGCGTCTTATCAAGAGGCAACACACAAAATGTATTTGTGCGATGAGTGCGCTTACACTATACTAATGGTTTTCGCGAAACTGCGGCTTCTCTATTTGGCTTTGTAGTGGACAGTGTGATTCGCGTCCAAAAAAATTAAGAGGCTGAGAAGCTTCATGGTCGTGACTTAAGCTCTGTCGCCCTGCTAATAAATGTTCGTTTGTGTTGAGCTTTCTCATCCCACAGGTTAGTGCCCCGGACGTGAGGTTGTGGTTGGTACGTTGTGACGCGGCATATGGCAGCCTTCTGCTCCCACCACCTTGACCAACTATCCGCAATGAATATGTAGGGAGCAGAACATTCGTATCGCAGTAAAATTGTCGCTGTATCAAGTAGGGTTCTGCTCATGCATCTAGGTAGTGATATTTCATCGCATTTTGCAGTGGTACAAAGCTGATTAACTGTTCGTATATACAGCGGCAGCGCTACTCTGTGGATATATTATACATCGATAAGAGCACCGAAACCTTACCACAATGTTTAAAACTATCATTTATGGTCCTAAACCTACTCCTTCGAGTAGTTTTATTATATCGGTCTGTGACTTTACATAAAGCCTCTTTGCGTAAACTTCAAATTGATGCGGTTTTTGTTTACCATAGAAGGAAGGCTTCGCTGCAGGCTCCTTTGGTACGGCTCTGGCCCATCACCATATAGCTGTACATACTGGGCCTGGACGATAGGCAAGGACAGGAATCCAGCCAGAAGGGCTACCACTGTCCCGAACCACGTGACTTCCGACATGACGGCTTCACTTCAAGGGAGTGAAAGTAAGAGATGTACTTTTGAAAAAAGCATCAAGTTAATGCAAGGGAAAACAAAAATATAGTCATAAATTGTGTATGTTGTAGATATACTTGACAACCCTTACTAATAGACAACACAGATCATAGTTAACTCTAATGTATTGCCGCGACAGGTTGGCCACGTTCAAGTAGCGTGCCGCGACCATCGTGGCACGAGCACAAGGCCGAACCCAGCTCTCATGCCGACGCGCTGGTGTGCTCTGGCTACGACTGAGCAATTCGACTGACTCGCACCTTGACGACCATAGTCAGTTATGGGGTCATGGCTTGGAGTTGCCGACAAGATTTGGAGTGGCTGACGAACTCTGCGTGGGAGCACTCCACTCAGGCAGAGGGCAACGGAAAGGAATCTGCCAATGGAACACACGCGCTCTTTGTGGAGCAAATAGCAGGGTCAATACGGAACGCGATTCACGCGTCTCTCGCATTATTGCGCACGCTGGGAACAGCTGCGCTACGCTAGCGAAATGTGCGCTCCGACGCGAGGCGCAACTGACGCAACCGGCGTCCGTCGGCACGCCAAAAGTTGGCACCGTTTAAAAGCACGGGATATTTGCGACTTTCGGTAAGATCTATCGACTTTCACGTAGTAGAAAAAGTTGCTCCGTGGAGTGTATTACGTGACGGAGCTGCTTGAGATCTGCCAATGGAACATACAGAAAGCACTCTTACTCTGACAATGCAATAGACTTGCTCCACATGGAGCAGAAGAAAGTATCACCGGAAGTGCTTCAAATCTGCTAGTGGAAGACGCCAGTACAGTGGTGGGCAAAAGTTCCCCTTAATAAATACGTTTGTTTTACTAGCCTGTATACCTCAGTATCGCTACAATCTGCATACATATCAAGACATATTTGAATAAATTTAAGAATTTTCTATTCATCATCCAACCTTCTGGAAGGAAATGATTTTCGATATCATATTTCACATTTTTATTGATACGAATACAAGAATTTTGATTGTGTTTATTATACAAAATGAGGTCCCAAAGTTGAAGACTACATCGGCACCTGCTGTTAAGGGCAAATAGTGCTAAAACAATGTTAGAGGCAAAACGAATGATTATCGAAAGTATAAACCGAACAATATATACTAAATGAAAACAGAATATACAAAGGAAAACACTATGAAACGAGTGAATGATTCAAGCAGTATAATTGAAGAAGAATACAAAAAGCGGTAATACGTGAAATGTGGACATTAAAATAAGGTGAAGCCATGGAAAGTAACAGTATTGCTAAGCAAGCGTATTGTGTCATTTCAGTTCTGCCTTAAATTGTTGCTAGTTTCTTGCAGTTTTCATAGACGCTAGTGGTGTATTTTGTAATAATATAGATGAAAATTCAGCAGTCAGTTTATTATAGTCTGTTTTTACCTTAGGCAAAAGAACGTTATTGTTATGCGCAAATCTAGTATTACTATGGGCAACCAGATCGGCTGATGAAAAACAAATTGGTGGTACTGCATTGGTTATTTATTTGTAGAATATAATACATAGGTTTTATTGGAGGATCTCTGAAATGGTTAGGATTTTCTTATAAAATGTTGGCATTTGCTGTTCGAAAATCGTAAACTGTTTTAAGGGGGTGTTGTCACCACATTTGTGGCATGCAATTTCTTTGCTGTAAGTGTTTTCTTCTGCTCCAGGAAGCATGATACACGCAACAAAATTCGTGTGTTTTAGCTAAATAATTAATAGTTTCTCTACTTATGTGGCCCAATTTCAGTTTTGTTTTCGCGGCGCCGAGTTGGGTAGTGACGTCAATGTATAGGTGACTTGTTCACATGGCTACACAAGGCTGTGAAGCACATCGTGCCGAGCTTCATCTGCTCTAATACACATGCGCAACACAAGCGCCAGCAAAACAAACGCGCGGACAGTCGCTACTGCCACCTCAGTAGGATCCAAGCAGTGGCAAGGCAAAAGGCAGCCAGAAAGAAACAAAAGTTTGTATTTACATTGTCTGTACAGTACGCTGACGGAGGAGGGGGAAGCGCCTCTGTTGGAACGCGCGCAGCGTCTCTGACGGACGCCTTTGTTGACCGTGAAGGACGCGACGAGTGTCTCTTCGAAAGCACTCGGTGTCCTTGACACTCGTACAGAGTGTCTCTGCAAGCAGACTCTTAACAGCAGCCTCCTTTCGGAGATGGCGGAGGTCACTCACGTCTATAGTGAACCTCTCACGTCACTACAAATGTAGTGTGACGTCATGACAACGGACGTTGCTTCTCCTATTCTGAAACGTCAGTGTGGCTGCGCAAGCGATGGGACTAGATCGCAAGAGTGAGAATTCAGCTACACATTCAGAAGTGAATCAAAGTATATTCTACGCGTTTGTTGTGTCCAATCCTGCACGGGAAGATTGCTTGCGTACAGAGGAAACCCACAACTGGGTTGGGATAGCCTCAAAATTTGGTGGCACCACCTGTTTATTGTTTTAGATGTTCAATGAAACACTTTAAACTATCCCTTAATTAAGTTCTAAGAACGTCAAAAATGTTGTCTTTAGAGTCAACATTTTCTATGCAAAAGACACTAGCTCGATGTTATCATCGAGCACAAACTTTTTCAACGAGGACCAGTGGCTGCACAAATGAGCCCTTTTGGGGACACTGCCCCATGACCCCAATATATCGAGACAGACAAAAGCAGCTCTAAGGAAACGCTGGTGCTGCAACTTCTGTGAAAAATAGCTGTATATTCTAGGTTAGAGATACGTCCATCGCCACTGCGAAATGAGGCTCGAAGAATATTCTCACTGCAGTATAGCCACCAGTATCGCCATTAGTATAGCCCGAATACGTGAGATTTCTTCAAAGTTCACCTGAACAAATTCATTGATTTAGTTGATATCAACTAGAAGAAAAAATATATACCTACAAATGTAAACAGGCTGTTCAATTACAACGTCAATACTTTTTCTCAGTAAACCAATAAATGCCTTCTTTGTAAAGGAATAGTACATCCAATGCCTTGCCATTGCTCCTGATTTTGAAGTGTCCTAGTCAGTGCGCATCCCCTAGAGTAGGCATCAATCGATCTCCATCACCGCTACTTCCTCTGAATCAGCTACAGTGGACATGATGTCATAGACGATTTCACTTAAGACATGTGGGCAACACCACCCTGAGCTGCTGAGCGAACTTCCTATTTTTTCATAACGAAGTGAATTGAAAATGTCAAGAAATGTTGAAAACACCAATCCAACCGTTTATGTGTGTATCCGTTTGCAATAACGCTGTTATTTAGTTGTTAATTATACAAAACGGCAGTGTCCACCATGACGACACCGAAACACATATCTAAAATAGCTTGCAGATATATTTTTAAACAGGTAGCTCACACCGAAGCATAGCTTTGCCGACACCGCTTAGGAAAGCAGGTCTCTCGCTAAGAAAGAAAAATTTATTACGACAGCGGCTTAATACTACTGTAGCTAACAAGCCGCCTTGAGAGGTAATTCAAAAAGAAAAACACTTGTATGTACCTGTAACTCAACATTTTTTATCTTACAATAATTAGGCGCTTTTCTCTTCATCACGAGGGTGGGAACGGGGCTTTTGCGTAACTAAGCCTTGCTGAGCGATTAAGGTAGAAGATGCATTTGAAACATTTGATTGACTTTATGAGTCTGACTTCGGCTTGCAGATATGCATGGTAGACAAAATAGGCTGAAATACAAGGTTGCCATGTTTCGTTGCTCAACAACAATTAGGCAGCTTTTCAGGCTGGTGCCGGTAGAAACAGGGCACTAGCCAGTCTTTCTTCTTGGTCATTTCCTTGTGTACGTGATTTGAGCCTAATTTTGAATACATTTCGACATCATAGCTGCTGGCATTCCAGTCTCCAGTGTAAATGCATTGCGATAAAGGCGTTTCCGGTTCCACTATGAACGTTTCGCGATTACACTACGCAAGATATTACTTTTGGGTACGTAGTTGGTATGACGGGGAAGAATATTATAGAAGCCTCATGTTGCGGACGATTTCTTGCCGAATGCAACTTTTCACAGGAATAAGAGCTGAATAGGAAAATCGAAAGCGACCTCAAGAGGCGCCGCACCCACCTAAAAATTGGGTCTCTGACAAATTGAGTTATTTATTGCAATTAAGAACAGATGGTTACACGAGGGTGTTTTTTTATTTCAAATAAACAGAAAAAAAAGTTTTTTGTCACCGTTACTTGGCGACGGCTACCCCTTTCCGCTTGGTTGGTACGAATAAAAAAAACAATAGCATATATACATATATACAGTCCTACGTGGGTGAGAGTAAAAGTTCTCCTCAGGGAAGAACAAACACGTATACGCCATGCTCACTTTTAAGTTTTGTCCGCTCAGCAGTCGTAGCAAATCGTCGTTTCTTTGAAGTGTTGCAGCACCTTCATTGCTTTGCCATTCGTTTTGAATGGCCATGGACCTCGTATTTATTCAACGCAAATGGCCACTCGGGATGTAACTTATGGAGTTCCTGTTCTAGTCGCCTTCAGTGTGTGTCGTGTTTCGGACAGTCGAGCAAGAGGTGGCAGATATCCTCGTCGTCATGGCAGCATGAACATGCTGACGATGTTGCACGATGAATACGAAGAAGGAAGTGCTTTGTGTAAGCAGATCCGAGTCGTAGGCGGTGAATGAGTGTGTCGATACGTCTTGGCAGATCACGGTCTAATTGGTATTCAAGATTAGGATAAAGAAAATATGAAATCGCTTTGTTTGTTTTGTCTCTGAACCAGGTAGACAGGAATTATTACCCTTTTGGGGTTCTCAAAGTTCTATTTACGTAATATTGAGATACTGGAATGAGGCACGTTTGCGTAGAATTATGAGCGGTTTTCGCCAACTCATCCGCCATTTTATTTCCTTTAATTCCACAGTGTCTGGGAACCCACTGAATTGCCACTCGATGATTCAACTACGTACCTTCTGAAAGCTATTTTAGTATAGC